AGTATTGCTTCATGGTAACCTATAATCTTATTTAAGCAAGTGCCAAAGAAACTTTCTTCTGACAATTTCCCAAAATCAAATTCAAAAAGGCGCTTTTACCTCTAGGTAACTCTGATATTTTCTAGAGGGCCCCTGGAACATGTCGGAGGAATTTTTTCTCCTCATCAAGGAAAATATTTGGCTAATTTGGCTTACATATCTGGTATATATGTACCTGGAAAACACTGTCAAAGGGAATGATACTGAACTTTGTTACTGAATATTTTGTGTTACAGAAATATCCAAATTTTCTTATGTCAGCTGTCCTATAGTAAGCTCCCATCAGATCTTTCACCATTGTCATTTGTAAGTCTTTTGTCACTTATAGTAACTGTTTTATTACTCCTAAACTAGCAAAGAACTAGATTTCAGAAGAACAGGTATTGGTTACATAGGATTAAGAAAACTAAGGAAAATGATTTTGTGGCTTTATGTTTCAAATGTTGCTGATAAAGCATTTTAAGCTTTTTCTCTTAAACTGACAACAGTTTAGTAAATGACAGTATCTTTATAGACAGAATTGAAACATTTATCTTTCTCTCTACCTAATCCCTCCAGAATTTAAAAACTCTCAGTGACTGTTTTCATAGTTCACAGCAGTATGTTTATTTGCATAAGTTTAATAAGAATCTGATTTCCTTGTAAGAGGACCAATTAAAAACACAGGTTATATTACCAAGGCTTTGACTGTAATATCATACCTGAGAGACACGTGCATAAACTCAGATATGAACAGCTTGAAGGAACTAAGGTTGACTTTGTAGAGCCAACAAAGCCCCTTGGAAGAACTGGCCTGGTACCTTGCTTACAGGGTTCCCAGCAGCCTTACCAGGTGAGTAAGGAAGGTCACTTCCTGGCAGGGGCAGGAACCTCAAGATGGCTTGGGGACTTCGGGAAGAGAAGAATTCACCCAAATCTACAGGTATTGCATGCAGGCAAAACCTGAAGGCAAGTCTGGCTTGGCTTTCTGGCCTAGAGAGGCCTTTAAAAGTCCAATCTGAAACTTCTTATAAAAAGTTCTTTCAAAGCACATTTGAAGGATCCCATGTAATCCATTGCTCTTCTTGCTGCACTTATACAAATAATGAAGCCAAGTGTTAATTATTTTCTTAATCTAGTTACTTCTAATAAAAATGAGGGTGAATTTAGGGAAAACTATTGTTTCAAGAATGCAGCCTTATCTATACTAAATCCTAATTCTATTCATAGAGACGTAGACTAGATCCAGAATTCTAGTTTCCCTAAAATATCTAGCTATGATTGTCCAGATGTTTTAGTTTTCTCCCATCATTTCAATTAAAGTTTTACTGTTTCTAGTTCTCATATTCAGCCATGCATTCTTTTTTTGTTTGCTTGCTTTGTTTTTTATTGCGGTATGATTGACATACACTCTTATGAAGGTTTCACATGAAAAAACAATGTGGTTACTACATTTACCCATATTATCAAGTCCCCACCCATACCCCATGTAGTCACTGTCCATCAGTATAGTAAGATGCCGCAGATCCCCTATGTGCCTTATCTCTGCTACACTGTTCTCCTGGTGATCGCCCACACCATGTGTACTAAACGTAATACCCTACAATCCCCTCCTCCCTCCCTTCTCACCCTCCCTCCCAGTCCCCTCCCCTTTGGTAACCACTAGTTAATTCTTGGAGTCTCTGAGTCTGCTGCCATTTTGTTCCTTCAGTTTTTCCTCATTGTTATACTCCACAAATGAGGGAAATCATTTGACATTTGTCTTTCTCCACCTGGCTTATTTCACTGAGCATTATGTCCTCCAGCTCCATCCATGTTGTTGCAAATGGTAGAATATGTTTCTTTCTTATGGCCGAATAGTATTCCACTGTGTATATGTACCACAGCTTCTTTATCCATTCATCTACAGATGGACACTTAGGTTGCTTCCATATCTTGGCTATTGTAAATAGTGCTGTGATGAACGTAGTGGTGCATATGTGTTTTTGAATCTGAGAAGTTGTATTCTTTGGGTATATTCCAAGGAGTGGGATTCTGGGGTCAAATAGTTACCCATATTATTAAATCCTCACCCCGTCTAGAACGGTCACTATCTCACAAATGTAGTAAGATGTTACAGAATCTTTGGGTTCGCCGTCCTGTGCTACTGTTCCAGTGACCAACTTATATAGTGATTGAGGATTCTTGTGCCCCTTTAACTGCTTCCCCCTCCCCCAACCCCGCCCCCTTCCTTAGCCCCACACCCCTGGTAAACGCCCCTCCCTTCTCATTGTTCGTAGAACTTCTTTACTACTGGCTCTTCTGTGTCATTGACTGTTGAAGATGGGTCGCAGGTTACTGAGGGCCATGTTAAGATTTTGTTGTTCAGATGGATTGGAGCACACCCTCGAGGCTCCACTGAAAGGGAGTGATGGGAGCAGGACTAAGTGTGAAGCAACCGCATGCAACAGAGGGCCCCCTGGTGGCCCTATGGACACTCTGGAGGAGAGAGGCCCTTCTGAGTTGGCCCTAAGTGAGGCAAGTACTTCCCCTTTTTCTGACCATCACTGACTCTGGGGAGGAGGTGTGTTAGCAATCTGTTTGTGTTAGCATTATAAGGAATCATCTATAGGGCCCTTCAGTGTGCAGTTAGGAAGCCTGGGTTATGATTTGCTGGTTGCTCTTTTGTTTATAGAGCCTGTCATTGCTCATGACTGCCTGAGCCTGTGGCTGGGACCTCATGCCGAGAGGCGCTGAGCTCTGCTGCCCCAAGCCAATCCCAGACTGCTGCTCCTGCTTCCCAGGCAGCCTTCTGCACTTGCCTCCTTAGCTTTGAGTGGAGCTTCAGCTTCACTCTAGACCTCTCTACTCCCCACTTCACTTCCCTGGTGGCTGCTGCTTCTGTGTCCTCTTGCTACCTCTTTCTGATGTATATACTGCTCAGTATTTTTGCTGTTACTCTAATTTTTTGTATTGATGGATTTGCTTCCGAGAGCTCTTTTTTATTTTCGTAGTTTTGAAGAGAAAAGCCTGTAACACTATCTTTTATTTTATTTTTATTAAAGTATCAAGATATACAATCTTACGTTGATTTCAAATATGCAACACAGTGGTTCAACAGTTACCCGTATTATTCTTCTTTTTTCATTTTTATTTTATTTAGTTATTTATTTATTTTTAAATTTTTATTATGGTGTGATTGACACTGTGTGCAGGGGCCTTATCATTGGCCAGTGGGAATGAAAGTTCCAGCTCACTACTTGGCTGCCTCTGACACAACCCTTAGGGGTGACCCCGCTAGAGACTCATGGGGGTGGAATTCTAGGCTCCCCATTCAGCATCTCTTGGCCCATGCAGGTGAGACCACAGCTGTTTTCTGTGGGGTTTGGTTACTGTCTCAAAGTTTCCCGTCTGGCCAGACTGCCCTTCTCCTGGTCTCTCGGCTCAGACAGGAGCTTTAACTGGGTTCTGTCTGTGCCGCTTGTTGTTTCTGGATTTCCTGTCTGTCCAGGAGGCAGTCTAAGGTGTGTGGGGCGAGAAGACAACCCAGAGACCTCACCACCGTGTGGTCTGTTGCCCCGGTGCCCAGGTCCACAGCAGTTCTGCTCTGCTCTCTCCCCATCCAGAGCTCTTACCTACGTTTTATATATAATGCCCAATGCCTTTAGGTGTACTTATGAGGAACAGGGAAGAAAGTATGTTCACTTTATCTTCCCATGAGTCTGCATGATGTTTCATAGTGTCTTAAAAGTATGAATAGTTTCCCAATCTCATTTCTTATCTCTACCTGTCCTCCCCTCACATAGTTAACCCCCTTGCCTCCATTGAGATTTCAAGGTTCTCTTGAAAAGTTAGAAGCTCTGGACTTGACTCCTCACAATATCTGTTCCCCATTAAATCTTCCCTCTGAGGCCATTGTTAATTACCATGTACCACTGGTGCTTCTATTGTTACATGCCCACTTTATTCATTTATGGTAACTGCTTAGCACAGGAAGGCTTTGGGGTGTATCTGATGCAAGGCGCTGAAAACGTTCATACTCTTTGACTTAGGAGTCAACTTCTGGGAATCCAGCCTGAGAAACTAATTAGAGATGCCAACAGAGATTTATATACAGAGATATTCATTTCAGGTTGTTTATACAGCAAAAAAATGCAGGGAGCTTAAATGAAAATATCCAGATATGCTAGAACACAATGGTGTTGTTTAAAAATCACATTTAAAAGAATATGACATGGGATGTTCATAATAAGTGAAAAAGCAGGATATGAAACTGTTTATGCAGTATTATCCCAGACTTTTCTCAAATGCTAAAATTCACTAAAATACCAACAGTGTTAACTCTGGGCTTTAATTTGCTTCTGTATGTTTTTCTTTACTTGATGAATTTCTGCTATGAATTACTGCTAGGATCAGGAAAATCAAATTTCTCAAAATATTTAAGAATGCTCTTGGAAAATGTTCTCTACAGTTATTAAATGAAATGTAAAAAGTTATACAGAAGCAGAGATATATTTCACAAATACATTTACATACACATAATATAATAAATAAATGGTAATATTTCCTTCTTTTTGCTAGGAATCATGTAGTTAGACAGCAGAATGCTACTCCATATCACATGGGTTAAAGTGATGGATGAAATGACTGAAAAGTGGTACCCAACTTTTGATTTTCATAGTTCTTCCATTTGAATAGTGCTCCTAAGGAGAAAATTCTTAACAATAACCAAAAAGAAGACAACAGTGTTAGCTGTCCTAAAAATCATTAATGCTGTGTTATGCATCCCACACATTTTAAGAGCTTGTGTTTAGTTTCTCTGTGGAAAGTCCTCCTTTCTATATAACGTCTGTCATTACTGTGAATCATTTTAGGATACCGTGAAGAGAGAAGCTCAGAGTCCTCCCTTGTGTAATGGGGATATTTAAAAGAAATATACATAGGTATTTTTTCTGGTAGCAGTTACAGGAAGTTGCTCACCTAATTATTAATCTTTTGTTTAGTTTGACCAAGCAGCTGATGCTGAGTTATCCTGGATTATAGAAACAGAGAAGAAATTGATGTCTTTGGGTGATATCAGGCTTGAGCAAGACCAGACCTCTGCTCAGCTGCAGGTTCAAAAGGTGAGAAAGTGCATTTCCAGTTGCTTCTAAATTATTGGTTAGTGTGCTCCAAGTCTAGAAAAATGTGTTTGCATGTTTGCATGATTTACTTTGCAAGACCCTGCTGTGTAACTGGGTATTTTTAGCTACTTTGCCTAGTTGTTTTCATTTTAGTCATTCACACTCTCTCTTCATCTTTATTTTGCTAAATCACAGACATTCACCATGGAGATTTTGAGACACAAAGATATTATTGATGAACTTGTTAAATCTGGACATAAAATCATGACCACATGCAGAGAAGAGGAAAAGCAATCAATGAAGGTAAAATCTTTTCTGTGACTGGTAGTGAGACTCTTGAACAAACAGCATGCATTGAGCTTTCAGTCCTAGAAAAGCACCATTTCCTTTATCTACAGCTGCCATTTAAACCGTTAAATCTTTGGTTTTAAAAAAGGCATTTTTCAAGCTTACAGAATCACAGTGCAAGGAATATTCGAACAGTCACCCTAGGGACAATCTTTTTTTAGTGGACAGAAAAACTGTAGAGGTTTGAGTCCTTGAATAACTGGTGCACATGAAGCATTCAGTTAATGTTAGCTGTATTATTGCCATTATTATCAATACAAAGTGTTATTATATATGTCAACTGTTGTTTATATGCTTCAGCAACATTGGAGCCGCTTGAGCTGAAACAAAACCCAACATGTGGTACCCTGTAATGCTGAAATCCATTCTCTGTAAAGTTACAGTAAGCCGTATAGGGGGAAAAATGAGCTGAATAATTAGAGGGACCATCCAGCTTATGTAGTTTTAATGATCCTTTAAATGGATGAGAACCCAGCCACAAGTAATAAATGTTTAATTCACTTCATATTCAGATATCCGAGCAGACTAAAGAAATTAATATGTATTAATGCATCTGGTAGGAAAATGTCCCATGACAAAACAATTGTACAAATATCTGTGCCTCATTTCCCATTTCAAAGATTATGCATTGCTTTTAATATGTATCATAGACAAAATAATAGAATGTCGTTGTATAATGATAGTTTCTCTTTTATTTATACTCTGCAATGACAGTGTGCTTGTTTATAATTTAATCTTTAACTTTATTATTACTGCAAAGATTCTGACATGAAAAATACAGATTATCATGAAATAATTTCTGCATCATTTTGAGGGTTATTGGGCTACTGTTGTGCTTTACTGTCTGCTGTTAGTTTGTGATACAAATTTGTACCATAATCTGGATCACTGTGACCGCTGCACAAGTGTGTCACATGATGTTATACTTTGATTCTAATATAGCTAATTAGTTTTGTGGAGTAGGAGTTCCTTTTACAGTTTCATTTGCAAAAGGTAGTCCTTTTTTTTTTCCAGAGAGTAATGTAAATGTTTCTAGACTCATGTGAAACTTGTTTTCTAAGATGGAAGAATGGCTGGAGAATTTTATTTACTGTGTTTGGAGAGCTCAAAGTCTTATTCATGAAAACCTGAGGCTGTTTCTGTTTGGATTTTCTCACTAATTTTTTGAGAAGTTCTTTGTGTCATAAATCCCATTATTTTTGATGACTTCATAGAAATCTATTTGTATGAATATATCATAATTTATTAGTCTGACCTCCAGTTGTACTTTGAAGATGTTTCTCACATTTTAGCTGTTTTTTACATATATATAAAAGGAACGTTTTTTGTAGTAGGAGCACAACATCAGCATGTAGGGGAATACTATTCAGCCTTAACATGTAAGGAACTCCTGCCATATGTAACATTAGATGACCCTGAAGGGCCTTTCTTCACTTCAACATGAACTTTCATACATGGAAATGGTTAAATCTAAATGGGTTTTGTTTCTTTGCTCATTTAACATACATTTGTTAAGTGCCTACTCTGCACCTGGTGTATAGTGCTGGATAAAACATTCTTGGTCAGCCTGGCCTCTTAAACACATTTCACTATCTTATTTTCTAGAAAAAACTGGACAAGATATTGAAGAATTATGATACCATCCGCCAGATGAACTCAGAGAGGTCCCTACAGCTAGAAAGGGCACAGTCCCTGGTTAACCATTTCTGGGAGACATATGAAGAACTTTGGTCATGGCTGACAGAAACAGAAAGAATCATCTCTCAGCTTCCTGCCCCAGCTCTTGAATATGAAACTCTAAGACAGCAGCAGGAAGAACAAAGGGTAAGCTCAGTGTCAGAGAGGAGGCTGTATTCCCCTTTAAAGGAGAGTCATGATTTTTATGATGCTTTTCAATGCAGTTAGACAGACACCTTACATTGTCAGGACATTTCAGCAATATTGTGTTCTGGTCTGAAAACATGTACTTACCACATAGTTGCTTACCTGTTGTCTAGGGTTACAGTGAGAAGACTCAGGCTGGTGGACCACATTGTGCATGTTATTCATTATATCACAGATTTTATAGAATAGTATGCAGTATGAATTGGGTGCAAAAACCAAAGTTCCCATTTTAAAATGTTAGAGAAATAAGCTTTTGAAGTATTTTGAATTTATGCATGTTGAATTGCTTTCAATTTACACCTGTTGACTAAGTTTTATAATTGGAATGTAAGTGCAGAGTAGAAATAAATGGAAATGACACACTACAGACAAGGCTATTGAGCTTGTGAGAAACTGTACAATATAACAAATAACCCCAAATTTCAATGTGGTGAAGTGTAGCTCTATGAAAAGGAGAAATGCTGAAGTATAAAGACAAATCACTTCCCTTTTTTTTAACCTTATATACAAGAAGCTCTTTTGAAGTTCTCTGCTTCTATAAATGTATATGTGTAAACCTCAGAGTATATTTACATCTACAAATACATCATGTTTTAAACATATATACAATTAGGAACCAGTATGAAACCTTCATTGCAGCCATTACTTAAATGTTAACATAGCTTAACAGAACTTGGGTGGCTCTGCTTTTGGCATAATAAATAGTATTGAAAGGACCATTATTGAAAATGTTGAAGTTGGATCCGTTTTTCCCTTTTTGCATAATCTTTCAACTCTCAAAACAAATTTATGGTTTTATGTATAAAAGAATCACAAAAATTGTTGAAACTAAATTGTTCAGAGTGTTTGCAGTCTTCTAGAATGTCATTTCTTCTGCAGCTCCACAGCATCCTCTTCAGTTATTTTTGGGATTATCTTCTAGTTCATTCCAGCTAAGAATGAAAAATGACTCCACTAGCCATGTTACCAAGTAGTAAATATCTTGAAGTCACACTAACTATTTCCAGCGTCACTGGACTTGTACGACAGTATGTTGCCAAGAGTCATTAGTTACACATGAGGCAAAAGACATCCGTCTGGCCCTTTCTCCCTGCACATACACACCTCGCATGCATCTAGTAAATATTCTCTTGTCTGTTATGACATGGTCTAAAGAAGGCTCACCTCACTACTTCCCAAGCTAAGGTGTCTCCTGGTGGTGCCATTCAGATGAGAGCCCCCTAAACTCTAGGCAGTTCAAGTCTCAGCAGAGATCTCTCATCCAACTTGAGAGTCTTGTGAATGCTCTGAGTGTAAACTTGTTTGAGAAACATGCCTTATAGAACATTGAAACCAGAACATGTATAACACATTCCTTTTCCAAGGGTCTGTTTATTAGCTGAAATTACTCTCAGCACCTCCATTCTCTAAAGCATCATGAAATAGGATCTAATAACATGAAACAAACTAAGAATGTCTTAGCCTGGACCACCTAGGAGCTCGGTCACAGGCATGACCCTCCCAGATTCTTCTGTACAGCATGTTAAGTTAGACCTCCCCCTTCTTTTTTTCTCTTTTTTAATTGAATTTGTGTTTATTTAGCTTTTTCCAAAAGACTTTTGAGACCATCTTCAGAAAAATTTCAAGAATACTATATTATGTTGGGTATTGTTAATGAAGTAATAGACCAACTACCTTAACAATTTTCAAAATAATTCTCGTGGCTGATTTTAGTGGACACATCCAGTAAAAATCTACGTAGGTGGCTGTCCTCACGAGTCTTCTTAAAGAATGATAGAAATCAAAGCACTTGCAGGAAAAGATTGATAGCTTTTTTCCTAGACTGTCTTTCCTGAATATAATTTCTCTCAGAGAAATGTTTGTTAGGGGCTGGATAGCAAACAGTTTGGAGATATACTTCCTAGTGAGGACAAGGAATTGCTGATGACAGAGCCTAGTCAATAATGTGGTGCATATGGAAGGCTCCTCAGGGATGTCTGGAGGCTGGCCTCAGAGAAACCTGCAGGCGAAGTGAATATTCCCCCTGGGAGCGGTTTTGGATTTGGCCCTGAAAAACTGCTCCATGGGAGGCCTTGGGTTCCATAGAGTCTGGATATTCTAGATTTATTCATCTCCCCAGACAGAGTGGGGCTCCACTTGGATTCCACACTCACTCATTACTATACATTTCACTGAATCTTTTGATTAGGTATTATGTAAAATTTTCATATGTCACATTTTCCCTTAAATGCACCTTGTAAATAATGCTCAGTATATAGTTATGTGTTTGATAGACTGATGACCTTGCAGCCTTTAACTTTTGAAAATAAATACAAATCGATTCATTCATGTCTGTATGTACATAGAATAACTTCATGTATATATTATGTAATATATGTACACATTTTATTTTTCTTTACATATATAATGCAATGCCTTGGTGGGCTTACATCCCCCTAACTTAGGCGTTATCTGTAGTTCTTGTCCTTTTCGCATTATGTCTATCTTCTACTGAGCTGCTTTCCTTTTTCTTCCTCCCTTCCTTCCTTCCTCCTCCCTTTCTTTTTAAGTAATTTCTATAAATGTCGTGAGTGTGCAGAAAGGGATACCAAGAGTTATAGCTTGGTTTCTATAGGTTGGGGACATCACAGTGAATTCAGAATCCTTTGATGTAATATGACCCTTGGCTAAAACTTGTATCAAAATGTGCCATCTTGGCATGAAATGGATAATGAACTGGGATTTTGCTCCATGAGCATTTTTATGTATACCCTTCTGGGGACTTTGACATGACCAGACTGTTGTTTAATCTTTGTGTCAGGGGCATCTCTTCCTGGCAAAGACTCATAGGAACCATGTGCTAAATGCCTTGTGATGGGGAGGGTGTTTGGAGCTTCTTTCCAGCTGCACGCATTGGGGATGTAGACAGCTGTAACATGGAGGTGTGACCCTGTGATACTGAGAAGCTGTTTGGTTTGTTGTAGCAACTGCGAGAGCTGATAGCCGAACTCAAACCTCATATAGATAAGATGAGCAAAACTGGGCCACAGTTGCTGGAATTGAGCCCAAGGGAAGGCTTTTCCCTCTAAGAGAAGTATGTGGCAGCTGACACCCTTTACAGTCAAATTAAAGAAAATGTCAAAAAGCGAGCTGTGGCCCTGGATGAAGCCATTTCTCAATCTACTCAGGTAATTGTTTACACCAGACATGTGACTGGGCTCTTCTGAATAGCAGAGCGTGGAAAAAAACTTTCCTGGATCTCCTGATTAAATTTCAAATAAGATTATTTCATTACATTAACTTTGAGTATTGATGTCTTTGTCTCTCAGAGGTAGTATTTGCTGGAGTCCAGTCCTTACATTTCTCTGCCTGCTTGTAGGTACAGTAAAAAATAATTTTTAGTGACTTAAGAAACATACAGTTGTCATCATTGTCCAAATGCTTAAGTAAGCATGTATCTAGAGTAGAATGCGGTATTTGCCATAGGGAGACATGAAACAGAGTGTTACTGTATTATCATTATTAGTAAAATAGTCCCAGTAAGAAGAAAGACTGAATGATAGGCTGAATACGAAGGAAAAGATTCATATACAGTCAGAAATTGATTCTTTTTTCTTTTTGAAAACTGGGTTTCAAGAGGTTAAATTTGAAATTATCTACAGATTTTCCACTTTCAAAGTTTGGTTTTTATCATTAGATCCACTAACATTAGAGTGGTCTATTTCCTATAAATCCAGAGTGATGATTCCTTTTATGTTGAGGATAGTGTTGAGTCTGAATGAACCACTTTTCATAACTTTGTCTCATTGTCTAGAGTACTTTTGCAAACAAAATTTTAAGATTCTTTCATGAATCTGATTACGTGTTTGGATATGAATTAAATACACACTTCTGTTGCAATGTTGGGGAGGTTTTAGTTCTGTTTAATTTTTAACATTGTGCAGTTCATTAAATTTACAACTTAATAATCCTTTAAGATAATCAAAACTGCATGAATCTTACATTTAATAATGTAATGTCCTCAGGATGCCAAAATAAGGAGTAAAAGTGAATAAAACAATCAGTTTTGATAGACAAACATCCAGCTTATTAAACTTAATTATTAAAATTAATTTGAATTATGATAAAAGCAGTAGGTAAGAGACTGCCCTCAGGTGGTCTTTTATATATTAACATATACCATTTTTTAATGAATACATTCAATTGTCTGCAAGAAATAGTCTGGCCTATAAAAGGAATGAGATGAAGACAGGTGCATGTGAGGTAATATTTTTCAAATGTCATACACCATCTGCATATAACTGGATGAATGTGTTAACACAGGGGCTAAGATTTAGTTCTTGACTGTGATGTTAGATAGATGCTTTTTTCTATATAAATGTTCACACTTGGTATCACAGATCTTTTCCCCATCAATGATTCCTTTATTTTACTTCTAGTTTCATGACAAAATCGACCAGGTCCTGGAGAGCCTCGAACGCATGGTGGAGCTTTTGAGGCAGCACCTTCTATCTCTGCTGAGGTGGAGAAGATTAAGGAGCAGATCAGTGACAATAAGAACGTGTCAGTAGACATGGAGAACCTACAACCATTGTATGAAACTCTTAAACAGAGGGGAGAGGAAATGATTGCTCGCTCTGGGGGCACCGACAAAGATGTATCTGCCAAAGGTAATGGTTGCAGAATAAGGAAGAGTTGAACTTTATTTTTAAAGCAACTCTAAATGCCCATGCTGTTCACCGGCAGTCCAGTTGCATGCCAGAATACCAGATTTCTGAGACAGTATTACAAATATGGTGTTTTGGGGATTGAAGGGTACATGTACATAAATCCATTGTTAATGTCTTCCTGTGTTAGTGAAATCCATCAATTTGATGCAAAGTGCAATGGCACAAAAAAAGCCACATGTTCTCTGGCACTTTTAAGCCAGTTGGTTAAAGCACAATGCGAAGAACAAACCTACAGATTATTATTTCTTTTTTTCTCTCATTACTGACTACAAACTATCTTACATCGTGGGTACTCTATCCTGTAGCCACAGAAATGGCCACCATGGCTATAGACAGCCATATTAAAAATATGAGCTGGGGATCAAAATAAAGAACATCCATATGAATTAGTGGGAATTCATGAAAAGAAAGCTCTAGAAACAGGTACAAAATACATATCCTATGTTGTTATATTCCTGGGACTGAATGGACATCTTTGTTCTTGGAGAGCATAAAGAATATACTTCAGTGGTTATTTCACTTTCTTAGGAAACGTGGTAAACTGAGGTCTACTCAGCTCACATGTCTTTGAGCATCCACTTTTGTCATGAAGCGCCTTAGTTCAGAGGAGCCAGACACCCTCAGAACTTGAATTTGTCTGGAATAGGCCATTGGGCCCACATGCCCACTAGACTGGGGTCAACCAAACTTTGGTCTAGTTTTAGATACTTAACAAATTGAATCTGTGTGAACTAAAATATTCTGCTTTATTGCTTAAATGGTGCTAACACATTGCCTTTTGGATATTGTTTTGTACCACAGCTGTTCAGTGTAAGGTTGAGAGAATGGTTTTCTTTTGGGAGAACATACACATGCTGGTGGAGGTAAGGGAAGCCAAACTACTGGATGTAATGGACTTAGCAGAGAAGTTCTGGTGTGATCACATGTTGCTGGTGATTACCACTAAAGATGCACAAGCTTTCATCCGGGATCTGGAGGATCCTGGCATTGATTCCCTAGTGATAAAACAACAGCAAGAAGCAGCAGAGGTAAGCAGAATGTCCCATTTAAAGTCAAAAAATAAGTTACAGTATAATGCAACCTGGATTCCATTGGTAAATATTCAGAAGTACTCTATTAAGATTTACATTGATTCCAAAAGTGGAATGCATAGTGATACTATAGGAGATAAAGTAAAACCCACTGATTTCCCTTTAGAGAGTGTATATTTTTTAAGTTTCTCTTCATCTCCACTGCTTCTGCCTTATTCCAGGGCCTTGTTCTCTCTCTCTCTCTCCCTCGCCCTCTTTTTGTGGCTGCTGAAGTGACCCAAAGCACTCCCTCCCTGCAGAGCCCCTTCCTTGTCAGGCCTCTAGCCTCGCTGCCATTGGTTTCTCTAAGTCTGTTCTGTCTCACTGCTCAAAACCCTTCAGAGGCATCCACTGCCTCCTGAATGAAATCCTGACTCCCTAGAACTGTGTGCTCACCTTTTACAGCCCAGCCTAGCCTAGGCCTGTGTTTCCAAAGCCGTTTTTTTTTTACTGCTTCTATATTAGAATATGGCTTTCCCCAAAACTGCTGTGCTCTTTCTAGCATATGTATTTCCTCACCCTGATATGCTCTTCGTGCCATTCCTCTGGCAAATTTCACTCCAGCTTCAAGGTTCAGTTGGATTATTACCCTCACGTAAAATCTTTTTTTATATACTTAAAAGAGTTAGTCTCTCTGTGCTCCCACAACACTTCCTCAAAGGACGCCACACATAGTGAGACATCACTGACTATACCTCTGTCTTTCCTAAAGGGCTCTGTGCCCCTAGAGCAGAATAGCCCTACCTATTTTTCACTGTATCCCCAATGTGTAGTTTAGAGCTTGGTGTATGCTTACTAAATGTTTCCTGAATGAACAAATATATTTAACCAAAAAGATGAAGGCAAGGTGGACTCTTGCATTGATGTTATCACTTTTTTATAGTTTACAAACCCTGGGAAAATGACCTAAGATGTAAATCCAGACCTAGATTATCCAAATTCTATTAACAAATACATTAATTTGCATGAAGTCTTTGAACTCATATTTTACTCATATTTTATTGTATTATTTTTTTAGATCCCCTCTCCGATAACAACTTAAAAATGTGCAGTGCAGTATTACTGACTACAGTCACCATGCTTACATTACATCCCTATGACATACTTATGTTATAACTGGGAGTTTGTATGTTTTGACCCCTTCACTCATTCCTCCCATCTCCCAATCCCCACCTTTGGCAACCACCAATCTATTCTGTGTATCCAAGTGTTTGAGTTTTCTGGGGGGAGGGGACTAGTATTTTTTGTTTTCTTCTTTTTTTTAGATTATCATATCAATTGAAATGTATATTGCCAAACTGTTGGGTTTGAAAAACAAAATGTGTTTCTATGGTTTTCATTGTTATTATACTTAAAAGAACTTATTCCAGCATTTGTTACATTATTTCTTAAACATTATTTAACATTTAACATTTGTTACAAAGGATGCTGTTTTTTTCTATAAAATATTTCTTCTGTTGTTTTTGCATGGTGAAAATACTTACTGCAGAAACCTAGAAAATAGCAAGATGAGAATAAAAACTGATCATAATCCCTCTTCCTAGAAATAACTACCATTAATGTCATTGTGTGCATCTTTTCAGTTACACTGTGATTTTACTTAAGGCTCTAAGGCTGTCATTTCTCAATCTAGTCCAAGAGGGAAGAAATAGATGGGCTGCAAGAAGAGCTGGATATAGTCATCAACCTGGGTTCTGAACTCATCGCTGCGTGTGGGGAACCAGATAAACCCATTGTCAAGAAGTGTGTAGATGAGGTACAACTAGCATATTTTCTACTCTTAACAGAATATTTTTTTTAATTTTGTGAGCTAAAGCATATTTGATAGAAGGAGTTGAAAACATATGACCCTAACAGAGTTCTAACATTTAAATTTCAGTTACATTCAGCGTGGGATTCTCTCAATAAAGCTTGGAAAGACCGGGTGGACAAACTGGAGGAGGCAATGCAGGCCGCTGTTCAGTACCAGGACAGCCTGCAGGTGAGGGCTTTGCCGCGTGGCTGCTGGAAGGATGGATCCTCAGGGATTTCCACAGACTGACGCACGCTGGGCCCGCTGGTGCCACCCCAGGGCTGCAAGTGGGGATTCAACTGGCTCACCTACTTCAGTTCATGTTTTGTCTTTTGGGAGATATTTCTGACACTTGAGATCAGTATAGATTTCTGTATACATCTAAACATGTTCTTAGACACACATTGAGTGAAATCTACTTTGAAATTTTTCTTTCAGTAAAAGTAAGTGTTCCCACACAGTATTTTTCATGAAGCCTCAGCACCAGACAGTGAAATGGAACTGAATCTGAGTTCTGTTCTAAAGTTGAGTGGAATTAGATGAAAGGAGTAAACACTATCTCAAAATACCACCAAGTTTAACTATGGTCAGGAGTAAAGAAATTTGATTCAAAGCCAGCGTTCTCAATGAACTAAAATAGATTTCTCTTTTATTAGGTCACAATCCAGCTATGTAAAATGTGTTTTCTTTTCCATATATATAAAATTCCTTTTAATAGTTGTTTTTCATCTACCTTAAGGGTTTTCGTTTACTTCATTAACAATTTTTTTAGGTCTTTTTATTTTTTTAATTAAAAATTTTCTTGTCAGTTGAGGTCAACTCAGGGGTATTTCTCTCCATACCTTCCTAAACTTTTATTTTTTTTCCTAACAGGCTGGAAAGAGTTTTAATCTTTCATCCCTCCTACCATATGGAAAAAGCCCTTCTAAGTATTTCCATAACACCAAGCGAATATTATTTTTAAAGCTCAGATGAGAACATCTTTTCCTTTTAATTATGCCTCTCCATTTCTATATTTGTAAAAATAAGTATCACAAGTACGGCTGTATGTCAGCTGAGAAGTGTTTTGAACTTTGGAAATATATGAAAAAGTCACTACAAATAATACCTGATTATAACTTTCTCTTTTGGTGTCCCCCACTTTTTTTAAACCAAAGTGATAATTTATTGGTTAAGTATCAGTGGCCAAAACTAATCAGGTTCCAGCTGTCACTCTGTGAGGCCAGATCATGATTTTCACATAGCTTTGGTAAGTCATTGAGTTGTGCCTGCTGCCATGGCTGGAGATGCTATAACCACACTTACAGCCATTTGTCCTCAGGAGCCAGTAACCAGAGGAGGCCCCAGGCTAGACACCATGACTTACACAGTTTCATTACCACTGCTGGAAAACAAGGTCCATCATGGGGTAGTAGCATCAACTGGGGGAATGACTGGCACCCTGATTTAGTAAAGAGCTGTTAGGACTAGCTGTAGTGAGAAGCTCCAGAGATTTCAAAATTTGATTGTAAAGTAAAGTAAATTTAATTTCCCAGGTTGCTGCTTAAGTTTTTGCGTTTATTAATGACAACTTTGAAATTCAGATATTTTCCAAGGTTATTTCCTCCTGCTGTTCTGATGCAGCAGCTTCATTAAAGAGCAGAATACTTTTGTGCATTCAGTACCTGGAAGAAATATGAGTTGTGCCTTTTTAGAATATTATATTACCTAAGAAGAACAGGGAAAACAGGAGATGCTGTCATCTGTGTCATAATTCAGACTAATGATCATAATGTTAATTGTTATATGTGCAGGATTTTAATGCTAATATAAATAATGCATAGGGTTTTGTTGGGCTGTGTATTTTGCTCAAGTGCCAGACAATATACTTGCTTACTTGAATAAACAGATGGGATGGGTTTCTCTGTATATTTATACAATCTAATCTGCCTTTTAGGCAGACATGAAAGAGCATGGAGAATTCGATTCCATGTGATTTCATTTATAAAACTCATTTAAATGGACTTGTTTTGACAGTTCTTATTAATACTTTAAGATTATATATGGAGAGAATATTCTTTGCAAACTTGGATGCAGAATTGGCTTACATCTATTTCATATATTTCATATATAGTTCTATTTCAACTGTTATATTGTTGCTTTTCTTTTTTAGTTGAACCATCTTAACCTTATATTAAATAGTCCCATTCCATAATATTTTTGTAGATTTACAAGTGTACTTTTCTGTAACACTTGAGATGTAGCAATTTCAGACATACTGTTATAATAACAGATGGACTAATGTGTTTTTCAGGCAATATTCGACTGGGTGGATATTGCAGGTGCTGAATTAGCTTCTATGTCTCCAATTAGAACAGAACTTGACTTCGTTGTCAAGGAGCAGATCGAAGAGCTAAAGGTATGGGGTGGGGAGCTAACTAATTTAGCAAAGACTGCATTGTTAAGTTCTTGCTTCATAGGATTCTTTACACAAACTTATTTTGTGTAATTGAAGTGTAAATATCTTGATAATGAAACTGGTTTAATATAGTGCCTGCATATAATAAGCAGTGTATATATGCTCCTTAAATAAAGGGTATAAAATACTAGTGGTTTTCCTTTCTTCTTATTAAATTGATAGCTGTTCATTAAAGAAAAATAAAAAAATACAAATAAGAAGAAAGGTGGTTTTTTAAAAAGCCACCCCAAATGTTATGTTCCCAGAGGCAACACTCCTAAGACTTGATTATGGACTTTCTGATATCCTCATATTCACAGCAGGTTGAGTTTTGTGGGAGGGGGTGTATTTATTCCCATGTTCATCATCCTGTAAAGATGTTTTATAACTATTCAGTAGTGTCATTGTCATCAGTACACATACAGCAACATTTTTCCTTTCTTCATTATGTTCAGAGTAATTCATTTAGTCTAACAGGCTAAAGAATCATCCATGGTGTAATCTCATTTCCCATAATGTTTGTTTTATAAACGCTTGTTGTTTTCCGTCTGCTCTCGTCTGTAGTTTTTGCTTTTGTGGTTCTTGACCTCCAGCTGCAAAAATGGCTGGACGGCTTCCTCTTTGAATCCCTCTTTGCTGATGATCATTTATCAAAGTGGAAGCAGCTATTTCCTTCCTAATTTTAAGTCCCTATCCACAGAGACATCACACCATTTTCAATAAACTCTACTAGATTTTATACAAAGTTATTATTGGGCTTTAAAATTGTATCATTTTCATCCCTAAATGTGATATAGAATATTCTAGAAAAAAATTTTTTTCTCTTTTGAGAATTTTGCTGTTACCATCATTAGACTGAGATTTTTTTTTCACCGTATCTGATCATATAGTAAATGCATGGTATACTTTATGTAAAATTGTTGGTATGGAGAATTGATTTTGAACATTTACATGTATCTCAGTGGCTTTCCTAGAGCAAGCTGGTTTGGAGAGCTGTCTCTGAAATCAGGTTGTCTGAGAATATATTCCAGTTTATCCACTCACAAGCCAAATAACCTCAGGGAAGTTACCTAACTGGTCTCATTTCTGGGTCCTTTGGTTAAATTGAGGACAAAACCATTTTCTTTTTAAGTTTATTAAGCATAACCTGATGATAGCAAGTGTTCACTGTACCTGAGTTGTTATTTTTTAATTTTTTAATTCTTATTCCTCTTAACCTCCCCTCCCCCACACAGGAAGCGTGAATTGGAATAAAGGTCTAACCTGTAGAATTTCTTTTGTTTAACGTTTTGATTTAGAACAAACTGTCCTTATATATCCCTCTTTTTAAAAAAGAGCAATTTAAGTCAGAGGCCTACCAACAACAGATAGAAATGGAAAGACTGAACCACCAAGCAGAGCTTCTGCTGAAGAAAGCAGAACAGAGTCACAAACATACAGTTCAAGACCCATTAATGGAACTGAAATCAATATGGGATAGTCTGAATGAGAGAATTATCAACCAACAGGTAAGTACCAAGACTTTTTATTTTAAGAAATTATCAAAGTGCAATTTTACATGTTCACATGAAATGATTATTAAAAAATGAAATGAATGATTTTGTGCATCAACTTTTGAAGCCCCTAAATTCTCTTGCTTTACTGGCAGTCTTGCTACTTCTCACAAACTGTTTTAACCACTAAGAATTTAAACACCCAATGTGAGGATACAATGATCACACCCCATCGGATATGCTTATGAAATTATGTGTCACTGACCAAAAAAAGTTTATTTTTTTTGCCCTGTTTTATAAGTGTATGTCATTCATAAATGGATGTCTTCCTTACTACTCTCTTGGTAGCATAAGCTGGGGGGTGCTCTGTTAGCACTGGGGCAGTTGCAGCATGCTCTTGACAAACTGTTGGCCTGGCTGACTCACACTGAGGGCTTGCTAAGTGAGCAGAAACCTGTTGAAGGAGACCCTAAAGCCATCGAAATTGAACTTGCCAAGCATCACGTACGTAGCTGTAATTGCATGCTACACTTCTTCTCTGTGTCTTTCTAGCAGCCTCAGAATTTCCTGTATGTATGTTCCTCATGCATTTTTCAAATTTATAATTTTAGCACAAGTTCATATTTGACATTTGTTATTGAATGTTAAGCTACTTAAGAGACTGTCATCAAACTATTTTTCTTATTCTTCAAGGCTGTTATCAAAAACAGAAAGGAGGGGAAATTTCTGGCTAAATTATGAAGGCTGCATGGTAGACACTGAAGGTTTCAGTCCCTGATTTTCCCTGTTACTGGATTAACATAGACTCGATTTAGAAATTGCAGGGATAGCCTAAAGCCATAGGCTCTGATGTCCTGGTGCAGGTTGTGTGTGTGTGTTTTCGCTTTGGTCCCCCTTGTCTCTATGTCCTCTCACTTGCTGCTGATTTGGTGTGTCTAACGCTTCTCTCTGTGTACATCTCTCATTCTGTTGGGCTTTGTCCTTTTGTCTCTCTTTTCATTGTCTTTTTGTGTCTTAGTCCTTTTCTTTCTTAATTAGTTTTAAAAAATATTCATTGTATTAAAAGTTTTTGTATGTCCTGCAGTTGATTTAAGGCTAATTTATAAATTGAAATGTTTATCTTAAGATGCACACAAAACAATTTTATGATGTCATCTTTGTGACACTGGTTGATAATTTTTCTTAGAAAATTCCCTATATTTTAAGTCACTAGGCTTAATGAATCAAAGGTTAGTCTTTCATAGAGTGTTAGCATTCACATGAATATTGGTATCTGATTTGAGGTTAGCGCCTAAATTCTAACCTTAAGTAAGTTTTCCTTGCTTATCAAATAGATAATCTTTGATTATTTTATTTATTAATTAACATTTTAAGAGAAAAGGTAGGTTTGGGGCACTTTAATATCATGATAGCCAGTTTTTTACTATTTCTGCTTTAGTCTTCCATTTTTCATATTTTTATTTCACAGCACTTGTGCCCTAATTTAACTTTTCTTTTTTATTACTTTGTTCCATCTATATCTTTTGTCTTTGCCCAACCACATGTGATTAAGCAATTAAAACTTATTTTGCATCATGAGTATTTTTCATTATTTAATATCTATATTATACCTTTGCTAGAAAATTAATGACTGGTCAGACTGCATAAAAACAAAATGGTTTATTCTCATATTGTGCATCTATAGTATTTATGTTCTCATAAACCGCAATTGTCTCAAAAGCAACATAGAACAGTGACAGGGACTTTATAGACTTCAGTGAAGTGGAAAAATGACGTTCCCTGATCCAGTTATTTTGGGGAGGGGATGAATAGCGATTTTCATTTTTGTTCATCTCTCTTTGAGCAGTTAGAAATGGCTCTTTCTCTCTCTCCTCTCTTCTCTTTCTGTCTCTCTAAGGGAAACTCAAAGGACTTAAAATGGCCTGTACAGTTGCTGGAGGAAGGGAGGGAATGTTTCCATCATTCTCTTGCTTGCTTCTCCTAGGCTCATTCTTATGTGGCCAGACTTGACCATTTAAAAAATGGAATTTTATATAACTTTATATTTTGATCACACAAATATTTAATTCTTACCTTTGAAGGTGATTCCTACTGTTAACAAATCGAAGTACATGCTTTTTATAAAGGTCACTTCTTACTCAGTTGCTTGTGTAACTTTTGGAAAACACTCCCTCCCAGAGACCGCAGAGAACGAGTGAATACAGAGAAATGGGGATCACAGGCGGTTAGTGCCCTTCCCTGAAAATCCCACCTGGTCTGCGTTTCCCTGCAGATGTGGGACGTCTTGCATAGGACGAGGGATGCTGGGCCTTTTCTTTCCTCTGGCCAGCCCTGAGTCAGTGAGTGTAGGGAAGGATTACCATCAGCTCTCACTAACATTAGAAGGAAGGTTTCCTCTGTTTTCTGAAAATGTAACACATTTTCTTGAAAGGGAACTACTACTAAGCTATATTTGTTCTCTAAAGTGTAATTCTTTATCAGTATTTAAAATTCATTTTTTTCTTTTTACCTTTGGGATTGCTTTCCGCACTTAACCATTCTGGCCCCCACGTTCGTGCATTTAAGCATTATTACTCTATTCTTATATTTCCACTGTATGAAAAGGAAAGCACTATTTACTGGGATCTGTAGTAAGTATTTTGTATTTTCTAGCAAAGAACAGCTAAACTTTGGAATACTGGGCTTAAGTATCATTGACGTCAGTAAATCTCCTTCCCTTTATGAAGTGTTAAGGGACTCCCAAGATTCCTGTCAACTTAGCAGTTTCTTCTAGCACGCTTCCAACAAGAGAATATAAAAGAATATTCTAAGATATCTTTTCCCTCTTAGAGTGCTAATTATAAGATATGACACTTTATATCTTAGAAATATAATGATTTTATATTTGGAAATGGGTATACAGAAATAAAAATATCTTTTAAATTGTTCAGTTAAAGACATGGAAAGTAAGTCCACTTAAAATGAGCTTGAATCAGCTTTTAGAACTTTTTCATTACAACCTCTGGATACTTAATGTCCTCAACTGCAAGGTAATTTTAATAAGAAGAACTAGCAAATGTTCCTACATAATCATTTCAGGGGATGTTGGTAGATGGAATCCATATCCAGGAAAGCTGCAAAGTTAAGGGGAAGAAGTAGGTTTTTTAAAAATTCTGCTTTAGTATTAAAATTCTGTGTGTATGATGTTTGTGGTTCAGAATGTCTCATAACCAGAAAACACAACAAATGTGTTAAAAGCAATGTTAACTCAACAAGAGCTAGCAAACAGAGTGTTGTCTTAATATTTTCAGGTGCTTCAAAATGATGTATTAGCCCATCTGTCCACTGTGGAAGCTGTTAACAAAGCAGTAAATGATCTTATTGAATCAAGTGCAGGTGAAGAAGCAAACAACCTTCAGAACAAACTGGAGGTTTTGAATCAACACTGGCAAAATGTTTTGGAAAAGACAGAGCAAAGGAAGCAGCAGCTGGATGATGCCTTGCGCCAGGTGCATGAGAATGCAGTAAGTAGTCTCCCTTATCCACAGTGGGGATGCACTCCTGTGGATGCCTGAAGCCGCTGATAGTACTGACCCCTATATATACTTTTTTTTCCCCTATGCATACATACCTATGATAAAGTTTAATTTATATTAGGTACTATAAGAGATTAACAAGTATAATAATAAAATAGAACAATCATAAGCATATACTATGTATAATAAAAGTTATGTCAGTGTGGTCTCTCTCTCTAAAAATATTCACCCTTCTTGTTGTGATGATGTGAGATGATAAAACGCCTGCATGATGAAGTGAGGTGAATGATGTAGGCATTGTGACAGTGTTCGGATACTATTGACCTTCTGGTGATTCATCAGAAGGGGGACCTTCTGCTTCAGGTGCTCAGTTGACTGTGGGTAACTGAAACCTCCAGAGGTGAAACCGTGGGTCATGGGGCCTACTGTATATTCTGGAACATTCTTTAGTCTTCAAGACTAAAATGGTGTGGAATTTCTTCACTGATTTACATACACTTGTTTAATTTTTATACTCCAAGGAGAGGAGTAAAAGTAAGTGGGATAAAAGGCGGAGCAGATGACATCTCAGCTCTCTAGCTCTTAGTGTAATAGTCTTATCTGCCGAGCTGTCCTGATGCAGAAAGGCACGGCAAACCCCGAGGCTCCTGCTGCCCGTAAGAGAGCAGAGAGGGGCTTAGGCTGGCATTGGTTAGACCTTGTTTATGCTTGGCAGTGGCAATGTTTGTTGCCCAAACTTGAATTTCTTAATCGCTCCAGGCCAGAAGCTTCCACCGTGAAATTGAGGTTTTGCAACAGTGGCTGACTGACACAGAGTGTCATCTGTTAGCATCCAAGCCTCTGGGAGGTTTGCCAGAAACAGCCAGGGAGCAGCTTGACGCCCACATGGTAAGTATATTAGTTCCTACAGCTCTAGGCTCAGACTAAGAAACTGACCGTTTTGTGTGGGCCCTAGTGATCAAAGAAATTCCGGGAGAAGGTTTAAAGAATATATACACAGTTTTACAGCAGAAATCTCTATCTAGACACACCATTTTTTGATTAATTTTTCAAGCTGGAACCTTTAGTTCAAAGGTTACTGTGTCACTATATGAAAAGGGGTCTTTGAAGTCCAAACCTTTTCTAAAAGCAAAGTTTCCCCCATAAAATGATAAACTTGTATGGATAGTAATAGGACATTGTGTAAATTATACACTGTTGTGCCTTCAGTGAAAATAAAAATCCTACAAGTAATCAGAACTGACTTAAAAATTATTGTCATACAATATCCATCATATCATAGATAAATTTTCACAAATGCCTAGGGTGCCTAAATGATTTTCTTGGCTTCACTGGAGATGGATGGTAATTATAGATTTGCTTTGTTTATGTCACCGTATTCCTATTATGTTAATATATGTGTGCAAATTAGTTAGTAGTTTAAAACCTATACATACTTAAGGTACTATACAAGAAGATATGTCAAAGAAATAATCAATCCTCCCAAGTTTCCTTCGTATGCTACATCTATAGCTTTTCTTCTTCCTTCCTAATTACAACCCTTAAATAGAATTCGTGCCTCATATCGAATTTACCGAGTATCATAATTCCTCCAGGTGGTAAAGATACCTCGAGACAAGTGCTGGGCATAGAAGCCACAGGGCATAAATCTGCAAAGAAGTAAAAAGCTAACCTTTGCAAACAATATGGCTTCTCTCTCACTTACCAACTTTACATTTCCCTGTATGGCCCCGGAAGATGACTGGTTAGCCAGAGACGGGTAAGATTCCTCAAGGGAGGAACAACCTAAGACAGGCACAGTCGCAGGGGGGCCATCAGGTGAGAATTTGGGGATCAACAGAGGTGAGGCTCAGAACCTCACCCCCCCTGCTTTGAGAGAAATCTTCTGCATCCGTGGATGTCTTGCTGCCCTTGTCTAGCCTGGATTAATACTTAGTCCATAGGCACACACCTGATCATCTGATCATCTA